GTATTGGTAGAGAAGCTTCTGAGCCTGGCTCAGATAAACGCCCAACAGTCGGTTGAACACAAAGCTCGGGCAGTTGCCAACAAGTACAGGCAGCTGTAAAGTAAACGTTTCGATCTTGGCCCCTAGCGTTCCCAGAAGCGGAGATTGCGCTTTCGCGAAGAAGTAGCAAACGATTAGAAGCAAAATCGATCGATGTATATCCATTTTGAAAAATGAAGAAGTGGAGTGGATTTTTCAAAAAATTGAAGGTACCTTTTTCATCTGAGAGCAAACAGAGAATGCCGTCGCAACAGCCTCCGCCGAGGTGTGCTTACCGAATACCACTTCCACCATTCTAATTATATGAGCCGGATTGAAGAAGTGCATTCCGACAAGACGCTCGGGTTTTTGCAGCGCTGTGCTCATCTGCATTTATATAGTTTAAAGAGCTACTGCAGCGAAGAGCGCAAGTGTTTGTTGGGAGATTCCAGCAATCGCCCGTCCTAATTCGGCCTTCAAGTCACAGATCTTACCTCATCAATATTCAAACTCGAAGTGTTCGTGGCAAAGATTGTCGTTGGCTTGCAAATCTGACTGAGTTTTGTAAACAGTTCAGTTTTCAGCTTCATTTTTTCAAATACTGCCTCAATCACCTGAAAGAGCACGTAAGGGCACTTCGTCTTGAACATATTAGTGGGCTGGCTAGGACCGCTGCTCAATCCCCTCGTAATTTCTATCTCGCCTTTTGCGAGAGAAGGATCCAATGGGGTGCACAATGGTCTAAGGACATGGTCAATCATTGCGCCGGAAAAAACTTAGTAACAGGACTCGTCTCCTCCCTGAAAGGCTTCTACATAAGGCCTCATCCACTCCACCCTTCCTACATGAGCCAACCATACCGGATCCTACCTGACCTAGCAATCATCTCCAAAAAAACGTTGAAAGGAGGGGAAATGCCACATTAATATTCACCCAACTTCTCCACAAAGTCACCTCTTGGAAGAACTTAAAGGAAGTGGTCACGATAATTCTCATAGGGACGATAAGGAAGCTATGTACTGGAGTGGATAGGGGTCCTGCCCAATGTTAGAACACGTGAAGTTTCAGTGGCAGTGGCGCCTTATCAACGGAGTGATAAGGCGCCGAAATCCACTTCCGTTCAGCAAAAACCAAGACTTATCGATGTGGAAAGGGGTGCGATAAGAGCGTGCTAGATATGATACCGTTATCGTTATCGTCCCGTTTTCATTCTGAGTGCACCTCTTATCAAGCAGCCGCACCTTCTTATCTCATCGTATCATATCTTCCATGGGCTTACATATCTTATCGGTTGGTAAGGCGATGATGGCAAATCCACATGGAAGCCAGCGTGATCGCTTTCTTCAACTAATGGTAAGTTCAAAAATACAGAAACGGTCCTCTCAAAAAGCATACCTACGAGCAATACGTTGGCAATGTACTAGCAAGTCCCATCTCAGATACCCCACCCACGTGCTCATCATGTGAAAGCCAAGGTGATCTTCTCAAACATGTGCACTAATGAAGCAGGTTATTCTGAGCCCAATGTTCAAGCATACTCAAAACTGGAAAAGAAAGATCTTACAAGGTCACAGTTCTTCAATGAGTTCAAGTCCGTCGTGAGATGAATTCCTTTTTCGAGCTTCTCACACTGAAGTGAACTGAGTCGACCAAGCTTCTTTTCTCTGGCATAGGTGGTTTTCAGCTCTCGACGGCATACTTCCAAACTCTGCAAGAGTATCAGAAGCAATCCAACAATATTTTAAAGCACAATCTCACAGGTGTTGGTAAAAGGGGCATTTCTAGCCGTTGCTGGAGCTTACTGTGGCTATGTGGGGTCACGATCGAAGCTTGTGAGCTCAAATACTTGATACATGGTTAATTGCGTTGAATTTGTTCTCAGCTTTGAGACACAGAAAGTTCACGAAATTTGCGGCAAAGAAAATAAAAATGCAAGGAAGGAAAGTTAGATGGGGAAGTTCACGTGATCGAATTCGACCCAACATCGAACCATGAACAGATGAGAGCTTGACCGGTGAAAATTCGAATTGGGGCGGGTGAGGAGGCGTGGGATGGGCATCCATTATGTTCTACAATACTCTAGATAGGGTTTAGAGCGCTCATGACACATAATTGACTCATTTATAGTATAATTCTGATAAGTACCGGTGTAGTGTGGCTGTTAATCCTCAGATGCTTCCCCGATTTGACCTGCAACGGTTCTGAACCAGGTCATTGAGATCATTGCGTCAGCTTAACCTAAGATGGACAAGCTCCAGGGTGGATGACTGGTGCAGAAAATTGGATGGGACGTGGGCAGGAGGTGTGGAATGTAGGACATCCACCGGTCCTTCATGGAAAGTGCAGTTCGAATGAGTCCTTGACACAGTCATCACTAACTTATTCTTACCTTAGTGTTGGAGAGCCCTAAGGAGTGCTCTCTAATCGTAAGACTGAGGATAAGGTACAAAGCAAGGAGAGCTTCCCCTCCCCTTAAACTGGATTTTCACCAGCTTCACCTGTTAAAGTATCTACTGGAGCAAATGCCGAGGTTAAACGTTCACCGCGTTGTGATCCCTGATCTATGTCCCGATTTTCATATTAATCTTTTATTTTTATTTCACTGTAAATGTATGAATTGTGAAGAAAGGAGGGAATTTACAGCCAATCTACGGAATATTTACCTTATCATAAAGTTGCTGAGGATACGACAGGTCAAGCACTGAAAAACCGGAAATATCGCTAAATAAGCAAAACAAGATGCTGGCGCAGTGGTTGGAGCATATTCGGCTCAGATTACAAGCATCATATCGGTTTACAAACCTTAGAAAACCTCACCACCACTTGGCACCAATAACCATAGCACAGTGGCTTATACTTTTTTTTTGGTTCGCGCAAGTCACTGAATAGGTTGGGAGCAAATTGTATTTCAATGCCGCTTTTATTTAAAGGATACAGGTAGCAGGACGAATATGGATAAAGTAGAAAGCGTGGCGCATCCCAAAGTGAATTGAACATCGCCTTTAGGGAATTTCACCTCAACCGCCTCATTGGTAAAACGTATAATAAAGAAGTAAGCGAAAGTCACCTCCATGTTATTTTCAACAAGTGTCGTATTGTAGCCGGCTCGGCAAAACGCTATGGCAATCCCTCTTCCCATGGTTCCTATACAAAAGCTTATTCGAAGATATTCTCACAATAAGAAATGTTATTGTTTAAGATTTGAAGCTTACTGACCACCGCCAATTACGGCGGCAGTTTTCACCGGTGCTGCCTTCGAGTTCTGCCAGCTGCCTCCATTTGGTAGATGCCACTGAAATTACATGACATTGTACAGAATGAGAGACAGGTTCAAAAGAAAAGGTAGTTGAACACACCTGCGACGCTTTCTGCTGCGCGCTCATTATGTATGACTTTACCTCGTCCGAGACGTTTGCCAAATCCATGCCTTCCCTAAATACTCTTTTATCCGAGGGCCAGCTGCGTCTGCACTGCGGACTTCACGATACAAGTAGCGACGAGTTTCAAAAAAACCAAGTAACTAGTATTAGGTTGTCTCATAAAGTAGTGTCGCTTTTTTTCAACCAAAAATTTTCATCTAAATCCTCATGCTTTTACATCTCATATACCATTCGAAAGAGAATTGTCTGCTCTACAAAATGCTATGTTCTTCTTCCACTATGTTCCAGGTTTTGAATTTTAGGCCTG